TGGGCTTGGCAGTGCTGGGTTAACGGTTGGACTCAATGATCTTAAGGGTCTCTTCCAACCTAAAGGATTCTATGATTCCATACCTCCTCGCTCCAACCCAGATGCCTCCCAGATGGGTCTAGGGCACTGAATACAGCAGCTGCTCTCTGCACAAGTTCTTACTCATTCACGTGAATCTCTGAGCAGAGATGTGACTGGGCCAAGGCAAAGAGCCAAGCTTGCCACTTCTGCTGCATCCAGGAAAGAGGAAGAGACATTATTTTCTGCTGCTAGAGAGGGCTGCCAGCAGTAGCTACTGCCCTCCCCCATCCCAGGGTCATTAGCGGCATCAACAGCAAGCCTGGCCATGGTGAAAGCAAAGTACTCGGAGAGGCCCAGGTCTCTCTGCCGTTCTTCGGCAGCTTGCCACTACACACAAGAGCCAACTTTGTTCACATACAAAACCACACTGGGCTCAGCTTTCATTTAACTGCCTCGCAGCTTTACCTAACCTCCTGTGCAACTCCAGTTGTGTACAAAGCCCTGAAGACCCACCGGCAAACAATTACTAAATACCCTAATTACTGTTCTAATTAGCCTTCTTTAGCAAGAATCGTATGAATAAATCACTTCCACATGTAAGCAAATCACAGGCCCCCTTTTCCCTTACTGTTCCTCAACTTATAATCAAGCTAACAATTGTTACTATTTACACAGCTGATGCAACAACATCACCTAATATAAGCCTTTCGTTGTACTCAGTAGATCCAATTCCTATTGATACTTGCATTCGTATATGACTAATTGTGTGTACTTACAGTTTCATGTTGTAACCCATATATTTGTCTGTATTTGCATAGATCATTATGCGTTTTATAGTTACTGTGTGTTTTAGGGACTGGCACATAAGCTTCTGTTCTTGTAGGTATGTTAATATATGTGTTACAGTAATTGCTGTCTATACCTTTTGCTATGTGTTCTCCCAGTTTTTGTTAACAGAATTTTTTCGTTCTTGTAACTGCATTAGCATTTTATCTTGCTCACATAGGAAAAGTCTGTATTAGCTGTAACACAGAAACTGATGTCTGCAATTTTATTAATTATTTGAGTCATCGTAACAACATCAGAAGCTCCACAGAAGCTGCGCAGTACTACATCAACAGCAGCGTATCCTTCAACGGTAAACTCTTTAGGGCAGAAACTGGGGGGTTTTTTATGTATTACTACAATATTACACTTGGACCTCACAAGCTCATAGATGCACCCACAGATAGAAACATACGTGTTTTCACATCAGCTGCTTCCACAGATCTATGCACACAGCTTCTAAATATAGTACGGAGTGTGCACAGCCAGCACCTCCCGTTGCCCACTTGGACTCCATCATGTTATGCCAAAGGTTGACAGAATCAGGGTGGGATTCCTCTGAGCCTGGACAGACCCTCTTTCATGCCCCTCCATCTCTTCAGTTTGTCTCATTTCCTACGCAGACGTCCGCTCTCCCCCCCTCCGCTGTTTCTCTCTCTCTCTCCCTCTCCAACTGCTTCTCTACACAATGCAGTATAGCACAACGTCCTTTAAAAAGCATACAGCCACTTTCCCTGCTGAGGCTGAAACTGCCCCGAGGTCCATCCATTACACAACGCCACGCAAGCAGCAGAGAAGATCTGGATCAACCCTCCCCCAGCTGTCTTTGCTCCCGTTCCTTCTAGATGCAAAATATATTTAATTGGCATTGCAGGCAAGACGAGAATAAAAGCAGCTAAGCCGTTCATCCCCTACCTGAGCAAGGCTCTCTCATCCCCAGCTGGTGAGCGGATGGAGACAGGGAACCCAGCTGCTCTCCTTTCCTCGCACTATCAATTATTCACGTAGGTTGCGGTGTCCTCCCTCCCTCTCCCTCCCTCCCTTTCTCTTCCGCTGCCCCCACCTGCAGATGAATGGAGAGCGAGCAGGTCGGTGCTGTCGTACTTGAAACTAGAGATCGTTGTCGATGGAACAGCCAGCCTGTGGAGCAGCTTCAGCAGAGAAGCTTGGTCCTAGGGGAAGGGGTCAGACCGGCAGCTCCATAGGTGGAGGAGCACGGGCAGCTCTGTACACCCACATCCTGCTCCCCTGCACTTCTAATCCCAGACCTGCAGGGACGACCTTTAAAAATAAGAGCTGTTTTGTTTTGTTTTGTTTTGTTTTGTTTTTCCACAGAAAAGCACTTTTTTTTTTTTTTAGTCCTCTCAAGTATAATGACAGTTATTTGATGACAGTGAACCGAGTCATGCAGATTCACGTGTATAGCTCAGAGTAGGAAGCGAAAGTAGCCGACTGGAAAAATCTGAAAAATGCTTACTTAATACTGATTTAGTCCCATAGCAAAGGCACTGAATGAAGATAACCTGAGGGGCCAGGATGACATGGTGCTTTCTGCAAATGCTTTTGGTAATCTGTGGATTGGAATGAGCGTTCCCTCGCAATTCTTGCAGATAATTAAAGAATTCTCTGTGCGGTAGCAGTCTTAGGCAACGGTAAAATGAGTTCTGGCGGACCTAGGTGAAGGTGTTTAAAGCATTTTGCCTTTGTAGAGGGCTACTACCTACAACTGGGTGAGTGCTTTACATCTGCCTCAGAGCAAAATTAGGTTTGATTCCCAGGCCAAATTACCCACTCCATTTTGCACTGGAGTAACTCAGCCTGACTCATTCTGGTGCCATCAGTCTGCTGGGGGACCTCCTACCAGGTCACCTCAAACATCGCAGTAATTTCTTCTGTTAATTCCTCCCATGACCACAGCCATGGCAGAGGCACAACAGAGACAGAAAAAAAGCATACTAGGGTGCTCAAACAGTAGGTCATCATTGGCTTCTCTTCCCTATTTAACTTTTCCCACATTTTGAAAAAATATCTGTGGGAATTTTACCATAATAAAGAGTTTCCTGAAATTAGATGCCTAATAAAAAATTGTTGGTATCGCAACCTCAATTGTGAGTAAGACTCCTGAAAACTGTTCAACTCTTTTTAAGAGGGCACGGCGATTGTTTGTATCTACAATTGGTTTTAATTGCGTTCTTGTTTGCAAAACTTCATAGACCAAGCTTTGTCAAGCTTTTCTCCACAATTATGCACGCCAGAAATGCTTTATTTAAAAAAAAAAAGAAAAAGTCAGCACCTTGATGAGGTTCACTTTGCAACCTTTCCCTCTTTTGGGATATTTACGGGGATTTTTTTTTCCTGGTTGACCATTTTAATGAAGTTTATAGGAACCTTTTATCTGAGATAAGAGACCAAATTCTCTTTGAGATAATTATCAAAGATACATCAGAGAGATAATCATCAAATTATCAAAATATAATTTTGAGAAAATTAGCAAATGAACAAATCACCTTTGAGACCTCGATTCCCTAATTTTGGTAGAAGATAATCTACTATTCCAAAGGTTACCACGGGATAATGGTGCACAGACACACCCACACAGACCGCTTCGAGTATGTTTTGTTCCCAGGAAAGTAGGCTGAGAACAAAGTATGGTAAAACTCTATCAAACTAAGAAAACTGGCGTCGTAAATATTAGAAAAGCAGTCATGTTTGGCTTTTCAGTGAACAGCAGTTGTCGGTATCTGTATATCTACCTACAGATATAGGAGCATAAATTTGTGCATTTTATTCTGAATATTAGACTCGTACTGGACTTATTGTGTCACCGTTCTGGTATCTTACAATTTGAAATTAGTATTATTCATAACCTGATTAATAAAATTATAACATCCTGCCATTTCTACAAGCCTTCAAATCACCCTTAGATTATACACTGACTGGGTCTTCACATTTGGCTATAAGGAATCTAGAAGAAATTGTTTCCATATAAGTACTAACACTTCGTGTTTCTTTGCCACCTTTATCTGAAGATCTCACAATACGTTATTGATAGTGGTTCCCGTTATTACCGCTGCTCCACATACGGATAAACCGGCACAGAGAGACTTAACCCTCCGTTACCCAGGGCCAGGAAAAGAAAACAAGGCTGGGAGTCTGTCAGTACAGCTGCCTAAAGAGCTTGAGACGCCTGCGCTCCACACGGACACCAGGACAGTCCCACTCGGATCAGCCAGCTGCTCCGAGCGACGTCCTGAATGCTGCTGCTGGTGCAATGAAGGGGACTGGAATACGTGGCCAGGGATGGACATGCAATATGGCAGGACTCTCTTTTTTGCAAGCAACGGTATTTTAAACTGGCCCATGAAACTGCACCATCAATCTCCTGGCAGAGCCCCTAGGTAACAACTCAGTTTATTTTCAAGCCTTGAGCAAAGTTGCCTGCTAGTAGAACCTGATGATATGAGAAATATTTATTAATTTATCTGACCATCAGTACTGTATGAATTGGGGGAGATTTTGGCAGTATAACTCTGGGTATTTGTCAACAGGGAATATTCATATGGAGTATGGACAAAAATTATGGACTTCCTTGCTAATTTCAGAGATGACTGGAATGGCCACAATTCAGAAAAGAGGAAGCAGCTCCTCCACAGAAGCAACTTCTAGGTTCTCACATATGTGCACAGCACAAGAGGTAACATTCAGGTTGCATCAAGGAAAATTTCAGCTACATAAAGGAAAAATTGGTTCCTCCTATGACGGTGGTTCAGTACTGGGAAGAAGTGCCAAGAGAGGCTGAGTAATCTCCATTCTTGGAGATTTCAGAAGATGTGTGGACAAGGCCCTGAGCAACCAGTTCTAGCTTGGAAGTTGTCCATTTTGTGCAGGATAGTTGACCTAAACGAGACTTTCCGTCCTGACTTATTCTATGATTTTACTCACTGCATGTTAGAATTCCTGTGGCATGAAATGTTCAGAGGCTCGAAGTTCATTATTTCAGGTCAAAACATAAGAGCTTCAAGCTCTGCAGTGTATCAGATCATAACCAACTTGAAATTCTTCACCACCAGTTTCCACCCAGAAGTCACCAAGTTTTCTAATAATTCAGCAGGTAAATATTTTCTTGGCAAACGTCAGAGCACTGAAAATCAGAGAGATTTTGTAGCGTCCAGCAGGTCTTGCCCTGAAAGTATACCTCAGGTGCCCAACAAGAGGAGAACTCAGGCGGATGGAAAACATGAGATATGAGGACAGCTCTAGCAGAGGAAGGCACTCTAATAAGCCCATATTTTGCGAACAGTAGTGCATTATCTGTATGATAATCATGCGTAAGAGAAAGGACTTAGTTCCTGGGCTTTATTGCACAATTAACGTCATAATTGGCTTTAACTAATAATTTTAACAAAGAAAAACTTACTTTATACTCTCAGTCAGCTCAGTCCCTCAAAAGCCATAACGTACGGATGTACAAAGCCACTTCACGTCCATGAATTACATGTGAAATCAAGGCAGAGAAGTGAAAGGATTCCCAGGGTCATGTTAAAACAGAAGGATGGACAGACGTTTTTGACAGCAGAGAGGCAAGTCATTAGAGTGAGGAAAGGCTGAAGAGCACATAGATGAAGATACTGGCCTTGCCTGGGTTGGGTCAACACGTTTAACAGTTTCCAGCAATGAAATGGTATTCGAACAAGGGGAATAATAGCGGTCTAATCCAAACAGAAGGACAGGGTGCACGTGCAAAGTTTTTGTGCTATGTATGTACCCACGAGTTTCCAAACTGGCACTGGGACTGCTGGAAAGTTAGCACGGGATGGGGAGGAAGGGAGGTCAGACCTGGAGGGATGCAGTGTGGCTGAGGAGAACGGAGGGATGCCTGGACGGAAAGGCAATCAGATGAGTAAGTTTCTTTTTCAGAATTAGGGATAAAGCTGCTCTTAAATACTCTGAACCAGCTGGGAATTATTCTCCACAAACTTCTCCTGTCGGCCTGAAATTGTGGAGGGAGCAGAAGGGGTTAAAGCGGCCTGCAGTACAAGGGGTGGCAGGGAGTGGCCCCTGCCAGGCCACCTCGGGCTGGCGGTAGGACACCAGCAGCCCAGAGCCCCCTCCCCTGGCAGGAGTCCCCTCCTTTTCATACAATCATAGAACGTTAAGGTTGGAAAAGACCCTTAAGATCATCGAGTCCAACCGTTAACCCAGCACTGCCAAGTCCACCACTAAACCATGTCCTCGAGCACCACGTCTACTCGTCTTTTAAAT